TTTAATTTTTATCAATTAAATGGTTTTTAAACCTGATCCCAAGAGAAGAATGATTCTCTTGTTGTTCCTTTTTCCTACTCTCTAGAGTTTTCTCACTCGGCGATCTTCGCGAAAAATGAACCTGACCTCTCTACCGTCCTTCGCTGTCGACCGTACAGCTCGATACAACGTTTCCGTGCACTGTCATTATCGAATTAAACAAATATCGTTGTAATACAACAGTCGCCGTCGTAAATTGCTCCCTATTTGCATAGTACGCGTTGATAATCGATTACACTGACACAGCAGCTACGATTTTCGAGCAATCAGCTGAGTGAACGCAATTATCCTGATACGCGACCGGTTCATCGCATTTCCCCGATAACCATAAGTAGACGCGAGTTCCAGGCAAATGAAATTACTCGTCCCGCTCGTCACAATTATGTCGAAGTGTACGCGACGCTCGCGTTTCTTTCTGGCTACTAGTTCCAAGGAGAACGCAAACTCGCTGATGTCGTAATTCGTTAACCGTTTGCGTCGTCCTGATCGACATCGAGCAAAACGTACGCAGTGCGGTGAAGATTTTTCGATGAAAGAGAATTGAAAGGGGAAGCAGATCTTTGATATAATTCTTAAGAAAATAAAATAGAAGGTAAAAGTAGAAGAAGTGGAAGATAAAATCCTTAAGAAAATAAAATAGAAAGTAGAAGTAGAAGAAGTGGGAGATAAAATTCTTAAGAAAATAAAAAGATAAAAGTAGAAGAAGTGGGAGATAAAATCCTTAAGAAAATAAAAAGAGAAGGTAAAAGTAGAAGAAGTACAAGATAAAATTCTTAAGAAAATAAAAAGAGAAGGTAAAAGTAGAAGAAGATAGAAGATAAAATTCCCAAGTAAATAAGAAAACGGTAAATCAATGAAGACGAACAATTTCAACGACGTGACCATGATTGTCACCGTGTTCAATCGCATTACTGGATTAAGGAATCTCAGTGACTCCGACACGCGATACTCGACACTGTTAAATTACTCGTATAAAATGTTTGTGATAGCTTTTACAGGCTTCAGCGTTTATTACAGCCATTTGTTCGGGTTAGTGACTCTGCGGCTCAACCTAAAAGTTGTGGTTTACGTTATCATGGGATTCGGCTGCTTCTTTTCTTTCATCTGTATAATTGTACTGTCCTGGTATCATTCGCAGGTAGGAGAATTATTACTTACAAGAGAAAGGTACAGGGACTATTTTAACGTCTATTTTAATCGAAATGAGATAAAAAATATAAAATCGAAAAATCGAATTGAATTTTAAAATTGAAATTTAATAAAAAAAATTGAATTCAATGTCAAAATCAAGTGTTTCGTTTCATTGTCGGAATTTTCGATAGAAAAATTTGTGTTTACACGAAAAGTCGTTGATCCGGTGATGAGACAGTACTCCCAGTTGTCGATTTCAGGAATTTTCGATGTTAAAACGGAGGATCGCGGTCTTGGAGGAGAGCCTGACAAAACTAGGGGTTGTCATCAATCATCGCAACATACTCATTTGGACAATAGGGTTCAATATTGCTACGGTTTTGAACTGGACCATAATAATAGGGTATTGCATAATGATTAGCTTACGTGCTGAAAAACAAGTTTTCCGGATGTTGCTCAGCCAAATCGTGTTGAATTACATGATGAACATCGGCGGATTGGTCATGCTGGACTTCATGATGTACGTCTGGTACGTGATCCTTTCCTCTGTTTCCGCCTTCGACAACGATTTCGTGTCGAGAACAGTCCAGTTAATACTCGTTAAAACTTTCATGCAGTTGAAACAATTTTCGTAACAAAGCAGAAACTAAAGAGTCACGATTCATCGTAACGATTGTTCTACTATCTTTCTTATACTTCGTACGATTTATAATAATATTAATAAAGATTTATTTAAAAAATGGTGTTTCTTTTGGCAAATACTATTATTAGAAGAAGAATCTTCAGTTGTCACTGTCGAATCAGCGTGCCAGTTAACACGGAAATTCGAAAAAGTCGATTTCACGGTGAAGTACTTCTAAATGTTAATCCATAAAAACTGAAATTCAAAAGACACTGATTCCTCTGTTGGTCTTTAAGTGGGCGCACAAGCAAGAAACAGGTGTACTCTTGCCATTTCTGTAAAGGGATTAAAAATAATTAATTTAAATGCTTGGTAGTTCTAGTACTAATTTCTCTATTGATACTCATAATACCAGGTGGCTAAAATTTGGCTTCGAGCAAACGAATGATCTCCTGAAGAAGTTCCTCGTGGATGGTCGTCAGATAAAAATGGAGGATCTGGACAACAAAATGGCGGAGGACAAGCTAGCGCGAGTAATTCCTACGCAAAGGTATTTGAGCAAATGGATATCTAAATACTCTACTCGACGGACGCGCGTGATTCCATTGGAGAAGATTCCGCCAGTGAAGCACGAGTTGCAAGCTGTGAAGAGAGTCCAAATGATTCAAGAGATCAGGTACCTGAAACTGTGCTTAAATTATACTTGTACCTAAACTGCTTGATCGGTGTTCCTATAAAACAAACGCGACAGTCATAAGTAATAATTTATTGAACGAGTAAAATTGTTAATGTAAAATCACGTTAATTATAAAAGTAAAATAAGAGGTTTTCTTTATTCTAATTGTGACGTATAATAATATAATAATATCGATGAATCAATCGACGAGGAGGTGTAACGAGAATGATTTTCTGCTCAAAGGTTCATCCATCTTCAACTGTGCAGGATCACGAAACTGGTAAACAACGTATTCGGTATGCAGCTCATGGTTTACACGGTTGTGGTCGTGATATACCTCAGCTCGATTCTGTATTATCTTTACACGATATTTGTCGGCTCAAGTTCGGACACGTTCCAGATTCGTGTCTTTAGTTTGTTACCGGATCCGCTTTACATGTGGTCGAAAATCATTTTAGTCACCTCTATTTGCGAACGCGCTGCCAAAGAGGCGAGTCTTTCTATATAATTATTATTTCACTTATTATTATTTAATTACTACATATTACTTCATTGAAATGGAAGCTAATTTTTCGATTATTTCTACGATCTATTATTAGAGGTTCTTTCTCAATTTCTAGGCGAACAAGGTGATAGTGATCATCCACGAGTGCTCCATTTATGACATCGACACTGAATTGAAAGACGAGGTGCGGATCATTCTAAAACAGATCTTTTATTTAACTTAATTGAATTCTTATGTAATTAAATTCCTGTTTAATACACTGTACCAGTGGAGTACGATAATGACTGTTTCATTTGTTCCATTCACTTTTCGTATTTGATTTCATTCTTACCCTTTATAGTCCAAGATCTTCTGCCAGCTCTTTGTCAAAGAACGATAAGAATGCATGACAGACGCTCTACGATCCGAACGAATTTATAATTTACAATTTCTTCGTAATTTCATGATCTCTTTAAAATAGGCGATCTCTTTCCTTTCTAGGTATCACAATTCTCCTTGCAAATCTCGCTCAACCAAGTGGGCGACACGAAGTGCAATTTACTTCCTTTGAACTATTCGTTCATACGACAGGTTCGTACGCTACTCTATGATCGATATTCTCGATGCAGAACGGCGTGTGACCAATCTCGTATTTTTTACCGTTGCAGTGGATCAGTTCCATGACCACGTACCTCGTCATTATGATACAATGGACCCAAAGCTCAATAGACGATGAAACAAAGCATCAAAATACAACCGATTCTTTTATTTAATACTAATTCCCTTCCAAACGAAGAATAAATTTAATTGGTCAAATAACTATGCTTAAGCCTCATTTCAATGCCCTCTGAACAATATATTTACATTCTTAACACTACAATTGCCGAGCGTAACATGATCAAGACGCAATCCTTATCAAAATTGTAACAATATATTTTCTTTGGTTTCTTCGTGTATTCATCATAGTATTCAATCGAAGCTATTTATTTTCCAAATCATCTCGTATATTTAACGCTTTTAAGCTGCCAATACTTGTGAAATAAGAGAACTGAAACCCGCCATTTTGACGAGTGCGGTAGTTCTAGTGTTAAACAAAACAAATGTTAAACAACATTTAACCTTTATGCCTTGTATTGCATTGTCCTTCATTCTTGTCACTGTCCTCACCTCGAATGCTTGAGAATTATTCAAAAACACGAAAGGATTCTCTGCCGAAAATCGATAAGAAAAGCAAATTAACCCTGCTCATTGTGCAAGTGTCGTTAAAAAGACAACTTTTTGAGACAAAGACAACGCGGCGTTTGCCGAATACGCACTTCATTATTTCATTTTACTGCGCGCACAATGAAAGATTTTTCAAACTAAATCCCACCGTTAACTGGTTAACACTTTGAATGCTATGGGGGTTACCGGTGACCCCCAGACAAATTGAATTACTATAGTTCACTCAATTAAACGATGATTACTTGAAAACATTTCTATATTATAAATAATGTAGGAGAAAGAGAATTTTATTAGAAATAGTATAATTATTTCTTGACAACTCACAATAAAACACTAACTAAATGAAACAACGCACACACTATTTATATACTCAGATGCTCTTGTCTCACTCACACACTTTCTAGAACATTATTTCATTGCCATGCATTAACTTCACATATATTTGGAATATTCTAGATTCATTAAAAAAACGAACATTATTAACATACAGAGAAAATCAATATAATCTAGAATATTCCAATGTTTTGAACATTCATTCAGAACGCGCTCACACACACAGTCGCGTCATTCATCTATTGCACAGACTCAAATACATCCATTCCCACAATAATGCTACCTAATGCGATGACATTCATCCAGATGAATGATTTAATATTATATTTCTCCCATTTTGTGTACTTTGCTCTATGAAATCGTGCGGCATTCAACGCGTTAATGCACGGTGAATGTACAGAAATATTGAGGATCACGTCAGGGTTAACGTCCAATTGGGTCAAGCGAGTGGACACGTTGCCCTGTTCCTTGTCCCCGGGTCAAGAGGCGTGATCGACAGAATTCACCGTACTGGACAATTTGCTCGTGACCGGGATCATCGTATTACCGTCGAATCGACTTACCGTCGCATCTAATTGCGATAAAACATTCATCGCGAGGACAAGATCGATCCGGATAAGCGGCCAGTCCTGCTCGTCGGTTTGCCCGGCGATTGATTCGCACGTTCGAGCGAGTAGGACAGTGAATCGTCGTAGTTCGCCCGGTTCGTATCGGTTCGCGATGTTCCAGCTGAAGACCTTCCGCGAGGTGTACAGACCGTTGCACTTCATGAACCTGCTGATCGGGATGGGCTGCTTCGAGTACTCTGGGGAGAAACGCGCCTGGAAACTCGCGGAGATCGTCTACGCGATCGTCTACTCGATCCTCGCCGCTTACGCTGGGTTCTACATCCAGTCGGAGCTACTTGTTTATTGCACTCTAACGAAGGAACTGATGGCGTGGTTCTTAATGTCCTTCAGGGTGAACAGTTTCCTGTCAATTCTGTTGATCATCGTGACTAGAGTCAAGATCGAGGTACGTTTCTTCTTCTTTTTTCATTTCAGCTGTTCCCTAGTCACTTCGACCGCTGTGTCGGTCGAATTCTGGTGATGTAACTGTTTTGTATACATAGATTTAAAAGTGAATGTCATTGGATCTTTGAGATGCGCGTAGCTTCAAAATTGCTTAAATACAATTACAATAAGGAAACTGATGTCCAATAAAAATACTTAGTAACACAGCTAGATGATAGTGTAACACGTGTACTGTGATACCAAGTCATTAATCATTATTTCTAATGCCATTTGCCTTTGTTGTGAAAGAACATGTATTGTTACACGAAACGTTCGAAATTCTTGTGGCAGTCAACGTTTTCAGTTTCGTTGGGAAAATTAGTTGAGCGGTGGATCTTGCTATTTTATTATTACTGTTGCTATTACTGTTGCTATTACTAGTGAAAATAATAAAGAACATTGTAATTGATAAAATGATTAGTCAAATATAAATTACAGACATGTCCTCTGACAGATGTATAAATTTGATCAACCTGTTGGTTACCAAAGCTACATATCTGTTTAGAATATTTTATTCGAATGTAAAACGCAGGGTATTCATAAAATGTTTTCTGAATCAGAGTCTGCGCTCAGCAATCAAGCTGATAGAAACCAGCGACCAGAGGATGGAGAACATGGGGTTGTCGATGCACCGTTCCATGCACTATAAGGAACAGATTAACCTACTCGTCGTTTGCGGTGCGGTGTTCGTCGGATTTACCGCGACCACCTGCCATTGGCAATTAACGTCAACGATGCCGATGCACATTAAAATAATCCTCGGCTCTGCCACGTACTTGCCACTGATTTTAATAACAACCTGTGATGTCACCTTCTACTTCTGGATCAGGTATAATTTTCCGGTACAGACGAAGTTCCACTGAAAATAACGTATATACAAACGCAACTCACGTAAAGATCGTAACAATACATTTTGTTTTCGATTTCTTCGAATATTCGTTATAATATTCAAGCGAAATTATTTATTTTCAATGTAACTTCAACGTAATTGCAAATTAAGGGAACTAAAGCCCTCCATTTCGACGAGTACGATGGTTTCTTCTTGAAATGAACTTTATACTATACCTAACAGCACTCAGTCCTTTTACAAACAATTAATAACGATAACTTGGACGATCGGCGAGAAATGCAGGTACTTGAGCATGAAGTTCTACCAGCTGAACAGTTTGCTGAGGACCATGCTAACAACGACGATCGATTCGCCGATGCACAAACGGATCCTGAAGTTGATGTACGATTTCGAGATGAAGAGGCTCGGGAAAGAGAACATCCACGTCGCCAACGGGAACGCGAACACAATGAGGGCGGTAAAGTAAGATTCCAATTTCTCAAACGAACTGAAACAAATCTGATATGTCTTCGTAAAGAATATCAATGTTGACAGATATTAACAATAAAACCACCGAGCAATAAAATTGATTCTTTTCTATTTTCTTATAAAAACTGTAAAAATACATTTATTGAAATTTCATTTCGCTCATAGTTTGAATATATATAAATTATTTTGAGTCAGTCGGTAGTTCTATTGTTAATAGACTTCCATATCGTTCAACGTTGCTAATTAAATATTTATTCATGAGCAGTTAATCGTTGTTTCTTTGAATTAGAATGTGAATGGGCATCGATAAATTCTCTTATTAGCCAAAAAATAATTCGAATGGGGAATTGGGTGAATCAATTAGGTAAAATAATTGAAATTTCAGTTACTTAGAAGAGGTTTAGATGATTGAAAATAGATAATTAAGTGTTTGGGTAGGATATTACATAATGAAAGGTCTAAAGAAGTCTGTTCTTATCACCGTAGACAAATTCACCTGCAATTGATCAAAACCGCCAGGACGATAAACGATTACTACGGGACTCAAGTCCTCTTTATTACGTGCAATGTTTTCGGCTTCCTCACAATGTCTCTGTTCTTCGCCTACAAAATTCTGTTCTCCGATCTAACAAACGAGAGATTCCAAAGCCATTTCTCACCGCTGGCTTTGTATGTATTATTTTATATGTCGAAGCTCGTCATCGTGAACCACGTGTGCATCAAAACTAGCAACGAGGTGAGATTCGAACATTTGTTTCAAGGAAAAAGATTTGTACGCCACTGCGACGCCAGAATAAGAGAAAAGCATTCGTTTCGATTGAAAACTGTAAGAAATCTATCGTTTCCCAGGCTTTGGACACTGGCGACCTTGTCTGCGAACTTTACGAGCCTTCAACATCCAAAGAGTTTCGCGCTGAGGTTAAATAAAACGTTAAATAGTCGTTAAGCGAATAGTTTTATATAGTTTTATATAATATTTCTATAGTTTTTCATTCTTGTATATAGCTTCATATTGTTTTATATATTTTTATACACCTATACACAGTTTTATACAGTTTCATATAAGCGTATATAGTTTACAAAAGTATTTATTATAAAACAGAAAAATTTCGGAAGAGTATCGATGTTTCTTAAAACATAAAGAGTATTAAATTACAACGTTCCATATTATTTTAACCATTTCTCGTTTTAGATTCGAGACTTCATCCTACAGATGATCCAGAACCCATTAGTGTTCACTGCTTGTGGGTTTTTTGACTTGGATAACACATTTATTCACGGAGTATGTTAATTATTATTGATGCATTAAAATCAAGCTATTCCAAACTATAAAGATATTCTACTTTCAGCTCGTGGGAACAATCGGCACTTATCTAGTGATCTTGATTCAAGTGAGTGAAATTGATATAGAAGATGACAGCGTGGCGAATGCAACCATGTCCACAACCACAGTTACAATGATTTAACGAGTTCAGAAAAATCGAAATCTGCCACTACGTGCACAATAAAAACTACTTCTTTCTGGTGGAAACTTATTTAACCCTAAATTTAACTCGATAACTAAACATTCGTCTAAATAGTCCACCGAACTTCACCAGTTTTGTGAGTTTGAATTCAGGAGCACACGTTCAACGTATACCAAGACTGCAAACGTTACTTTTGAATGCTTTTCTATTTTTTAATTAAAAAACTAATAGAACACGTCTTAAGTTGTGCTACTTTGTTTGAAATAAATAGGAGAAATAGAAAAATATACATGTCTTTAATTTATAGTCTACGAGTCGAATGTTTAGTTACGGAGTAACACTGATTTAAAGTTAGTTACCCAGACTTAACCAGAATGTGTAAATAAAATTCTCGCAACACCTTGCTCGAGGCTTTAGGAAAGCGTTCAGAGCTACTTGGACCTTCGCCCTAACAATTTTCCACCAATTAGAACGCGGACAGGGATGATACCTCAATTACACTACTCCCTGTGCACCCTACGCGATTCCAGATGGAGGCGTTAGCCCGTGAAATTCGGTAATCCTGAAACTCGATAGCTTGTAATTCGGTAATGGTGGTTCTTCCTTTGATCGGCCCCTAACCGATTCTTAATTCGCGAAAACGATGTCACGAAGTATCAATTCCGAGCTCGTCGCACGATTAATTTCCTTTAATTAATTCTTCTTGTATCGTTCATACAACAATTCGAACTTCATTTTTATTCTATCGAATCCCGTGTATGGAAGAAAACCGAATTTTAACCCTTTGCACTTGGAAGTTTCTCACTAGAAATATTTAACATTCCCTGACGAGACAAAGACGATATTCTTTGTAACTAACTCGAACAGAAATCACAAGTATTTATTGTACATTGAGGAACAAAGCTGTTTTATTCCAATATTTCACATATCGAGGCATTATACAAAGTTCAACGTTAAATATCAGATTTTACAGTTTTATGATCCATTATTATTCTGCGAACAATTCTTCTGATGGAATAAAATAGGTGGAACGAAATATTGGAATGAGATAGTTCTATCCCTTGATTTACGCGAGATTAACCTTTATATTAATTGCAAAAAGTATCATCAAAGAATATTTATAATGAAGAATATCGTCGAGTGCAAAGGGTTAACATCATTGAATATTTATAATAAAAAATATCGTCGAGTGCAAAGGTGCTGTTGTACTGTACAACAAGGATAGTCTGGTGAAAAAATACACGATCGACACACGTTTACAACTACCGTAACATTAATTGGGAATTAAGGGTGCGAACGACGTTGGCCGTCAGGAGCCACCTGCTACTGCGTACCGTTCACCGAGGGGTAAGGAGAATTGATATATTGCGCCCAAGGGGGCAGGGAGGCTGCGTGTGGGCTAGTTTTGATGGGCACGAACTCCCTACCATCCCCTAATCCTCTCCCCTCTCGTTAACTAACATTCGTAAGAGATACCTCGGCTTTATTGTCGATTAAATTATTCCAGTCACTGCAGTGGAACCCGAGATGCTCTGGGCTCATGCATGAACAGATAATTTTCCATTTTCAATTACTTAACCGATATCCCATCGTCTCTGTTCCTTAAAGTAGAAATCCGAGTCCGAAAGACAATTTAAAACATAACTGAAAGACAATGAAACATTGGTTATTCTGAACACAGTTAATTATTATAAACTATTCTCCAGAGAGGCAACAGATTCGCTGTTGTACATGTACTGCGGCAATAAAACGTTCAGTACAAGATTCATGTATGCATCGAATAAATAGCTAGTTTAGATCTTCAAGAGAAATCTCTTTAAAATACAATTCAGCTAAGAGAAATTGAAGAAATGTTTGACGCTGAAATTGGAGTTGCAAAAATCCTTCCACATTGAACGTGTTAGTTTAGTCAAAGTTAGTTTCAGCCTATGGAACAATAGGGAGCAATATGGCTGTACTGACTTCCTCGACCAAAGCATATGGGCCGGATTAGAGATGGAGATTTTAGAAGAGTAAACGCAAACAGACTGCTACGATTCTAATAATCCGCAAACGTCGTTTATCATGTCGCGACGGATTCACCCTTAACATGGCCACTCCTACTCGAGGGTGGAAGATCCGATCGCCTCCAAAACGTTTATCCCCTCTTGCTGCTTATTGATATGAGGTAGGGCGCGCTGTACATTCCGTGAATAGCATAAAAAAGAACATTGCCATGGGACAAGATTTCTGTACATGAAATATTGTCTATTTCTGTAACAAATAATATGTACAAATTTATATTTACAGAGTGTTGCAGTTACTTCTTCCCATATTTCAGTTTATTCTTGAATTTTTTCGGATTTATTCCGTATGTCTTTAACCTCTCCGGGTTCAGCGAAGCCATGTCGCTGTTGATTTCCATTGGTTTAGAGTCTTTTCCATCTTTTCTGTTCAACTTTTTGTTCTTCAATTTCTCCTTTAGCTTCGTCTTCTTTTTAAATTGCTTAGAATTCACTTCATTACAGTTCTGACCTTCGCTGGTACTCTTCTTCTTTACTGACTTACTAGTTTCCTTATCTTCAGTTGATTTAGGATTAGGTATTTCATCATTATTTAGTTTCTTTTTCTTCTTTTTCTTCTGCGACGATTCTTGAAGTTGTTCAGGTTGTTCAGGTTGTTCAGGCTGTTCAGGTTGTTCTTCAACTTGTTTTCGCTTCTCAGCTTTCGTTTTCTTCTTCTTAGACTCTTTCGTGGCCATTTCAGAAGTGTTTGTAACATTCGTTTTATTTTCGTTGAGATCTGCTTCACCCGATTTTCCTTTATCGTTTTCAGGGATAGGTAGAACGTTTTGCACTTCTTGTTTTTTCTTTTTCCTACGACGTTTCTTCTTTGTCTCCTTTTCTTGGTCATCATCAGTTTTAGGGTTGGTAGCATTCTCAGTCCTATCTTTTTCTTCCTCGTCCTCAGGATTCCTGAAAAATATTACCCGCATGAAACATGTGACAATATTATTCTTTCAAAATTTTAACATTTATTCTTCCAACCTGAATAAACTAGAGAGCACTTTTCTTTTAAGTCCTTCATTCCTAGCCTTTTGCTTGTACATTTGAACATCATTTAATTCTGCATGTTCTGGTTTATACTGAAGAGCCTTTTTCAAAGAACACCATTTATTTAACTCTTTGTCATCTGCCATTAAAATCTAATTAAATGAACACATTATGTAAAATATTAGTAAATAAATCATTAAGAAAGGTATTGAATAATATGTTTCTATATATTAACCTCTTCTACACTCAAACCATAGTCATTGGGTACAACTTTCCTATATTTAAATCTACATGGTATATCCCCAATCATATCCTCATAGTTTAAAGAATAATACTTGTCAAAATACTCTTCATAAGACTCATATTGTTGAGGATCAAATTTCGGCTTTTTCTGGGATATCAATTCAGCAAATTTAGATTTCCGTCTGCGTTTTCTTTTCTTCGTTCCATCTTCCTCTACGTGATTACCTTTGGATGCGTCATAATCAGCATCCATCTGAAATGTAAACAATCAAATTAGAATCTCTTAGAGAAAGAAATTATAACAATAAGCAATTACAAATCAATTACATTAAAATCTGTGTCTTCACAATGTGGTCCTTCATCTTCGTATGCTTCATAAGTTTCTGCATTTGGATCATAGTTATCCCATGTGCTTTCAATTTCAAGTTCTTCGTCAATATCCGGAAATTCGGGCTTTACATCCTCTTCAGGACCCGTGTAATACTCATCATTGAAAATTTCAGTCATTTTTTTATCGTATTCATTAGGATCAAAATCACCTTCCAAGTCAAGATCATTAAACTTCATATCTTCATTTCCCGTAATCTCTTTTAGTTTCTCTATTTTCTCTTCAATCTCTTTCCTTTTTAATGCCTTCAGCTGTTTTAGTTCCTCTTTTTTCCTCAACTTCTCTTCTTCTTTTCTTTGTTTTACTTCTGCCCTCTTTTGCGCTCTACGTGTGTCTTTCCTACGCATTGAATTTTCCATGGTACGTGGGAACCTCTTGATAAATTCTTGATCTGGTTCCTCAAATCTGAAGTTGTATTTATGTTCAAACTCCTCTTGTTTTTCTATATTCTTCTCATCTTCTGATAAATTATCATCACTATCATGTGCTAAATGTATATCATCTATGTCAGAGCCTGCATATTCAGTATCTAAGTATTTATTATTCAATACATAGTCTCTTAGAAACTTCTCATTTGCATCCAAGTTAGGATTAGACCAAAAGTCACGTAAAGGTTTGAGTGCTTCCTGTTCCTTCTCATTTATACTTGATTCTTGTCCTTTTAGCCATTCTTTGTAATCTGCTTCTTCCTAAATAAGAAAAGCAATGTTTTCCAACTGAGAACTGGGAGAAGCAAAGGTAACTTACCTTTTCTTTCTCTTTCTCAGATTTCGTTTTTGGTTTCAATAAATTGCCAGCATCATCATCATCGTCATCGTGCAATGCATCCTTGAAACTTTCTTTTATTTGCTTCTGTTCTTGATTATATGTTATTTTCTGAGCTTCTACTTCACTTTTTCTTAATTTATCCTCATCCTCACTATCGCTGAACTTTCCTTCTCGTTCTACAATAATGTTTCTTTCAAAATCTCTTAAGTAGACAGCCTTTTCTTTTTTAGATTTATTAGGAGATTTCTTTTTTTCATGGTATGACTCTTGTACTTTATTAGTATCATCAAAGAAAGTTACATCTTGATTATAGATCTTTGGATCCTTCTTCTTTAACATAGCTAAAGTTTTATAGAAATCTTTATCGAACTGTTCTGATACCTCCTGTAAAAATAAATGTAATTTAAACAGAATATATAAGGTTCAGTCACAAATAAGATTACAAGCATACATTTTCTTCTTCCTCAGAGGATGATGAGCTTTCAGTATCAGATTCTCCATCTGACACAATAGTTCCATTGATGTCTCCATACTTTGTTTTCACTGAAAAATTAACACTCACTTAGAAACATTGTTTTGTGAATTAAAATCATAAAATTTAAAGTGCACTTACATTTGTTCAACTCTTCCTTTTGCCGCCAATTGGCATAATTTTTAGCATAATCTGTGTTTATTTTCAATTCTCCTTCTGAATCAGAATTGTCACCATTAAACAGAGTAGGCATTATGTTGATCAATTATTTTACAATTTCACGGACGGTGCAAATATAATAAACAGATGTCTTCTGTTTTCAATTGTTTAAAAAATTATAGATGAAATTCCTCAGAAGACATTTTTATTTGCAATAAAGAGTCTTTTTGCTTATCAAAGGAAAATAATTTTGTATTGTTTAATTAATGATGATAAACTATAAAATTAACCACATAACTTATATTAGGTTATGTTTCACAGGGATGAAAACCCACATGCTTCTCATAAGACGGTACTTGGAGGAAATATATTGTGCCACAAAGCTGTAAGTTCCTTGCGCAGAAACGATAGGAATTATCAATTCATTTCACAGCAGTAAATACATAGTGGCATCATCTAGCGATATATGTGTGGCACTATTTTGGCTAGTAGATTAAACATTTTGCCGTCGATGGCGCTATGTATTATATGTATCATTTAAGCGAGTTCATGAAAATTTGTAATTTACTCTAATTCAAGGATGTCTAAATTGGTGCCTGCGGACACTCTAGTGACACTCTTCTCACGAGAAGTTACCTTGTCCATACTTACTTTTATCTGTTTGATTAAACGCTACATAAAACTGTTCATATACACAGTCTCGAACAGCTTCTTGAGTAGAGGTAGTGAGGGAACGTTGTTTCGGAGTTACTAGCATGAGGGAATTAAGTTAAACATTTCTGCTCTAACTTTTTATATTTATCATATTTTTCCACATCGTTCCCCACTATCTGTCCATGATTAATTAAACATTAATTAAAAGTGATATATATATATAATCCTTATAGCTTAATTAAAATATTTTAATACTTATAAAAGAAATATAAATTACTATACACTAGAGTGGTTTCATATTATGTGTATATGTACACTGCAATAATATAACAATTGACGAGATAGCACAAAAGTATAAAATTAATTCTGTTGAAGAGTTTTCTGTTGTATAAGATATTAATTAAGGCATGGATATAATTAATATATCATATTGAAAAAAATACAAATGTAATTGTACACTTTGTTAATTATATCAAACACTGTCACGTCACATATTTACAGACTTGTTCATATGGTAATTTTCTTACAATAGTACCATCTCTCTTTAACTCGACATCAATACTATAATTTTCTATATGAAGTTTATATACTATTCCTTTCTTCCCTTTATGTTTTCCCCAAAGAATTACAACATCTTTTCCAATGGCAGGTATCACTGTCTCCAAGTGTTCTTGATCTATTTTGATAATATGATTTTCAACTTCCTCTGGAGACTTTAATTTCACTTTTGCAAGAAAATTTCTGTTTTCTACAGATTGAACTACTCCTTTGGCCTTGTAATACCTTTCCCCTAAATTCTTTGTAATTATTTTGACAGTTAAGCCTTCTCTTAACCAACCTTCTTCATTTTTCTCATCTTCGTCCATCTTGGATTTAAATTTCTCTACTTTATTCAATGATCTTGTTTCTTTCTTTGTCTCTTCATCACTCAATACTTCCTGCTTTATGTCAGAGACATTAGAGGATGATTCTCCACTAGTTGAACCTTTATCTGTGTGTACATTTTTCTCATGTTTAATAGGATTGAGAAGTAACTTTGGCTTCTTGTTCAACTTCATTTCAATAACTAAAGGTGCATCTGTTTCAGAACGTGTTAATGGCTCTTTGAAGGTTTCAGTCTGTCCATTAGATTCCTGTTGACCCATCTCAACTTGTTTTTCTATAAACTCCATCATCCTTTCTGCATCATCTTTGTCCATCTTTTGTTTCTTGGCTTTCTTCTCTTGAGCTGCTAAAGTTTCTGGATCTCTGTCAATGTACGTTACATACCAACCTAGGAAAAGAAACATAACAGAAATTGAATATTATTAATTTCACAAACCTAAAGAATTAAAAACATTATTGATTAACTAATTGTTTCAAAACAAAGTACCTTTCTCAGTTTCATCAACAACGCATTGTCCCGTACGCCCAAGATATTTCACAAACGCAGTCAAAGTAACCCAAATTGTAGCATTCATGTGTATGTGTCCTCTGTCAGAGATATATTCCTGGTATACACGGTTGGCTGGCACTCTTCTGGTTCCGAATTGCCTCTTTAATAAATTTAAATAGCCTGACGAAAACTCTCTAGAAAACTGATCCATGTATCGATGTGCATTATCCGCAAATAACAACAATTGTCTATGATGGGATTCAGACATTGTGTGACACTTGAATCCATTTTCATCCCTACACTGTTTCTGACACATCTGACAATACCATCTTAACTTCTGCAGACCTTTCGCTTTGATCTTATTGGCAATGTATTTTGGTGTTCCTACTTCGTGCTTACCCATTGTTTAGATGAGTAAAAAAATCACTTATAAATTAAAAAAATTCTTCACTTCCTTAAATAATTAGTGAAATTCTACTAATGTTATAATTCTACTAATGTTACAATAACAATAACATTTACGTTACATATTGTAATTCAACGTTAGACTACGTTCTTCTTCTTTTCTTTCCAGCGTGTCTGTGCCATTTAACAATCTGTGAGAAATTACACCAAATTAAATTCTACATATACAATATTAAGGAATTTGTTGCCATGTATGAAAAAATATTTTATTAGGTTATTCCACTAAACTTTGGTTACATTAGACGTATTCAGAACACCGAAATGTAGAACACTCAGAGACATCTAGCAGCGCATTGAGCAAATGATTTAAATGGGTAGAAACTAAAAAGTTTTCGTTAATAAAATTATTGTATTATTGTAACTTGTATTATTAAAATTAACTAATAATTAACACTATTATAGTATATTTTGTCATATTTTCAGACTGTATACACTTTTTACATTGGAATGAAACAAAGATAATATTCCCGTACTAAAGGGATCGAAAATTTGTTAAATATCAACAAGATGTTAATACAATTCGCAATATTCCACGTTCTACCGTGTCTAAAATTCAACCAAAGCTATATCCACTTTAACACGCAGGAAACTAAAAGTTGCATTGTTTTTCAATATTTTACTTTCCAAACACCACAAAGGAAAACTGAAAAAACATGATTAAAACATACAACGTTATACACAAGGACTTCTCACATTTTACAAATAACATTTTTCGAGATCTAATTTTCGAAATCTAAATTTGCAATTTCCAAAATCTACTCCTAACATCTTTCCAAGAACACTACCATAAGGCAACAATTTCTAAACTGAGATGCGCGGTCTAGTGCAAAAGCAGACCCGAAAAGTTATTATTCTACCAATTATGGTTTTTCATTTTTTGTATTAATATATCTTTTACCATTTAAAAAAGAGTCTGTATTCTATGAAATAAAGGGAGGAAGCACCGACTAGTTTTTTTTTTAATGAAGGGCGTAGTGACAGAGTTTGGAAACTATTGTCATAAGATGCACAGTGAATGACCTTAAATATGGTGTTAAATTGTTATTCATTCTTCCCTCGGTATCTTAGCGTTACGTATCATTATTATCATCAGCGATAAGAATTGGTTTTCACAGTTTATTGGGGCACCCCGCCCACGAGCCCTAATCGATCCGCCATAGCCGGCAAGTTTCTAACATCCTCACAGAAACGTGTAAATCTGATCGATCATTAAGTAACCAAATACTCGTAGTTGCACGTAATCTCTTGTAACTTCGCTCCTGGTACTAGGCCTCGCGCGCCCGCCTCCTAAGTTCAATTTCATATTGCACTCTGGCAATATACCAGACACCTTCTGCAACGCATACCTGCACATGCAATTCGTTCCCGACGGTGCACGCACCTGTATACAGGATACTCTATAAGGTCAATAACAAGCCGCTATCGAACAATTCACCGTGCTAAGAATAGTGGAACTTTTCATTCCCTAACACGAACGACTTCATCAGGAATCACGCCTTGACTGTTCTTTCTTGTGAAAAGGAATGGGTTGCTTATTACCGTCATTATGGTCCACCCGCAGTGTTAACCCCTTGTTCTACAACTACGAGTGAGACTCGTGATAAAGATTTTCAATATGATTCAACAAATATATGTATTACTCAGTTCATTCGAATTCAAAATAAATATTATTCCTCTGTAATCAACTATTATACTTAAAAAGAAATGTAGGCGTAACATATGCCTAGAATTTTTCTCTTTTTCCAATAAATTATTAATGACAAAGTAGCCGTATCGATCAGAGTTGAGAAAGAAATCACAGGCAAAGGGGTTAAAACAATCACCTGTGTATCGGGTCGATGCAATAATCTTGACCTTCTTTGGAGCAAGTGAAAATATCACTGGATTCATTTTTCTTTTCGAAATTAGATTTTTACAATGATGGAATAAATAAACTTATAGAAAGACGGAAGAGGGTAATGGCAACCAATGGTAATTATGAAATAAATTAAGTCAATAAAGATATTTGATAAACTCTTTGAACATTTACAAGGGAATTATAAATGTTGACAAGAAAAGCTGATAAGACTCGTAGAAGCAAGTTATTTTAGGATAGTCGATTTGCGGGATAGATAAGAAGTGGACGAAATGTAACTCAATTTGGTCGCATTGTCAGTGATGATTAACACGTTCGCTACCAGCGTCCCATTTGCAAAAATGCAATCCCATTTTTTACATAAAAAAACTGAAATATATCCTATAGATATTATTATTCAAAGTTATACGAAACGGTTTTATATATAGGAACTCAATGACTTGTTTTAGTTTAATTTTTTTAATATTCTGTTTAGAAGATTTGTTGGCTTGATTAAAATATTACAATTGAGAGCATCGCCACCGAAACAAACGCTGGTAGCGGAGATCTTAATTATTATTTATGTAAAAATATATTCGAAATAATTATACCTGTGTTTGAAGGACAAACTTAAGGATGACTTATTGTTAGTTTCCAAATAAGAGAAGAGATTTCAAAAATGAAAACATATATCTTTGGGAAAGATTGTATATTCGATGACGAAAGGTTCGACAATATTCAGATACGCGTGCAGGCGCACGTACGCTCGTAATTCGGAAGTTGGGATCGTAGTTTCGAAGGTCGAACATGGAGGATCTATTTCGAACGATCGCGAACTTGAACTTAACTGAACGGACGTAATCTCGATGAGAGCACGATAGACAGGAGATTGGTAATTAAATGTTAGGTTCGAATTTATTTGACATTAAACGATTCGATTTGCTTCGTTTGATCGGTTCATGAAACTATCAACGGAAATATACAATGTTCCAAGATGGTGGTCCCGATAGATGTGTTAATGCTAGAACCACCAACCAGTCAAATCGACTTTGTTTCATTTTCTCGTACAAGTTGTAGAAGTTCATCCGTTGAAATTTCGAATCATTTGTAACTTCCCAGAGAAGCAACTTTTTTTACTTACTAAAGGTTACTTTTTCCATAATTGTAAAGAGGCAAATCAGGAATCGGTCATTTTGGCCTATCCGGTAGTTCTAGTTTTGATAAAAAATGAATCGAACAGCGCTCGAAAAACGAATGCTATTCTCATAGAAAATGATCCGCGATCTACGATACTAAACACGAGATCCGGGCACCACGATTATCCGTTTCGATCACGGGAAAATGGCACGAAACGCGGGCAAAGATCGGTAGGCGCCGATAAAGTCGCGAGATAGTCAGGTGAGAGACGATCCATTGCAGTACACGTGTAACTGTAACCTTATGCAGGGTACAGTTGTGTAGGGAAACATAAAAGCGTCATTCGGTTTCGTCCAGAACTCCAGTGAGGGTGCAACAATGTTGCGAAGCATATGGATTATCGATACAATATTAGAAACTCTATTTTTCTCCTCATTTTCTGCTATCTTAAGATTTCCGAGTTCCTAAAGCCAAAAATTCCTGGTAGCCGGTCACGCCGCAGAAGTAATCAAAGTAATGAGATCCTAATGCAGTAGAATTCTTCATTTAACCGATTAACATCGTATTTAAATAATTCCTGTAGTATAATTTTTTGTATTTAAATTTTCAAATCACCTCTAGTGCGAAGGGTTAACTTTTTATATTTACGATTTCAAATCGCCGTCTTGAGTGCAAAGGGTTAACTTTCTGTACTCAGATTTTCGAGTCGTCTCAAGTACCCAAAGTTCCCATCGACCGATTTTCTTCCGAAACTTCGAAACTTCTTTCAAACGATCGAATTCACGAATTTCCTGATGCGCTTCTAGCCTTCGGCTCTTCGAGTTCACGGCCCGTCGTTATGCATATACACCTACCCAGGAGCTGGTGGGATGGTAGCTCGTGCGCGGCGCGATGAACCAAGTCGGCCGAAACCTGCCGGAATTATTAACTCCTGTCAGTCTAGGCAGCTCGATGCAGCAACGAGCACTTGACTTCCCTCTTCCACGTACCCGTTAATACGCTCGAGAACAGGCATCGATCTCTCCGTGAATCAAACGTCGCGTCCAGCTGATCCGACAGAGGCTGGCCTCCCTGACGACGCACCCGATCCTCGAAGATTTACGCATTCCTCCTCGAAAATGTCGACTCACACGGAACCACGTTGCGCGAGGATCCTCTTCGAGGACATCTTCGATGAACGTTGAACTTCGCTTCACTTGTTAATGGACGTGGAATTGATGAACCGAAAGATCTTGATAGGTCTTGGACCAGTTCGCGACTAATCTTCTGATAGTTTCGAGTAACTGATTTTTCGACAAATTAAACTCGAGTGTTCCTGGGATTTTTCATGATTCGGTGTTTGGCGATTTTTCGGTTCAAAGATATGAACTTCGTTTTGCTTGGGACCTCGTAACCTGATTCGGTTGATAAGGCTTTCTTTTCGTTTCTTGATGAAAAATTGTTTGTCAGGCTACAAGAAAGTGTTCTTAAGAACTTCACACGTTTCACGGTTCAGTGTTCGACGTTTTCCGTTGAAGATCGACATGGAGGAAGTGGAGGAGACCGAGGAGAGCACTAACTCCTCTTCGAACGCGTCGTCGGTGTCCTCGGCTTCCGGCAAGAGACACTGCATGGAAATGCGCGTGGAGAAGCCGGTGTATCTTCGTCAGAAAGGTATGGTGATCCAAGGGACTGAAGGGCACGCGATATTTTGACATTTCGTTTACCCGTGTCTCGGAAATTAGTTCGATTGAGTGGTTGACTTCGTATAGAAGTGTCAGGGACTAATGTTATCACAACCTGCACGAAATAAGCGTATAGAAGCATATGGAAGTAAAATTATACCAGAAAATGATAAAGTGGGAGAAGCTAATAAAAGTAGGCGGTCTCTAAGACAATTCCTCTAATATTTGATTTCTTAAAACTTTAAATATCTTTTGCCACGAAGGTGTTTACCTCTTCTACGTATCTTAACGGCGATTATCAATGGTCTCATTTGCTGATATCTCAATATTCCCTTCCAATGAAACGTTTCGTTTGTCAAACGTAACTGAAGACCACGCTTCCGCGTCACGATTGGTCGAAACTTCGATCTATTTTACAAGAGAACCGTACCTTCCGTGAAAACGGTTCTGTTTGATTCTTTGCGAAGAAAAATTCTTCTATCCAAAGATTTACCTTAATTCATTGATTAAGATACATATCAAGAGATTTATTTCAATTTATTGGTTAGGGCATATATTAAAAGATTCATCTTAATACATAAATTAACAAGATTTATCTAATAGGGGCACGTCGAAGTGAAAATAAAACTATGACCTTGAACCCGGAGATAAAGATGGTAAACGATGGAACACGATTCCGGCGTATGAATTCAGTTCCGAAGACGAAGGAGGCGTTCCGTCGAGATGTTCCCGAAGAAAACAGAATTGCGGAGAGTAGCCAGCTCCCGCGGGGTAAATTAAGCTGCGTTATATCGCCGGGCGTAATCGGCGAATGCAGTTGCCCTGTTCCGACGCGAATCCGTAATTCGATAGACTCGATTGCACGCGAGCACGCGATCCCGCTCGAGGCGTGTGCCAGAGGTGTAGCGCGCACACCTTCTCTTATGTTTGCTATTCCTGTGAAAAAGAAATACGAATGACCACGTATTATTCGGCTCTATCACGCTTGCTAGAGTAACGGCTGTATTAACCCTTTGACGAATGTCGTGTCACATTTCATCGAATTTTCGTATATATGTATATATACACAGAACACACCATGAAAGAATAAATAGAATTGATAATTTATTGAAATATTTTTTAAATAATAAATTATAGTGATGAAATTGATGGCTTTTAAAATTGATGGTACTCTTGAAATATGAAGTGAAATAATTCCACAATCAATTGATATAGATGAATGGAATGTAAACATATAATTATATAATATATAATTTACACTTTCATTTTCAAATGTTCATAACTCAACTCAGACAGACTGAAATAGTTCACGTGTAATAATTGTTCATGCCTCCTATGCGAAAAATATGGAAAAAACATACACACACACACATACAAAATAGATAATAAACTCGTAGCGGAACGACAGAAACGAATTGAAACCATGAATTCCAAAACAGCGCAAGTCAACTAATCAACATTTCGAGAAAATCAATCTTCCTTTTCATCTTCGTTCGATTTATTAAATATGCAACGAAGACCGACTCAAGGAGAAGACTCAAATAGATAATAATAGACGAAACAGTTAAAATCGACTGAAGGAAAAGATAGATATCAAGGTCTATCATGTCGGAATCTATTACGGATAATTCTCATAAGCTGAAATCGGTTACGTCGATAAACTCATACGGGCAACGTTAAAAATTAGACTTATGCTGTTTCGGAATTCACGACTTCAATTTCTACGTGGATATTCTCCTCGCCCAGAACAGTGAAGCTCGCCGACAGGCACCGAAACAATTTCTCCAACGGGAAACGACGGAAAAATACCTTTCAGGAATGGAACTGACTTACATTTTTTCGAAGCTCTGTGGCGTCACGCGAGCCAGTCCGCGCGAAACGCGGCGCACACATAAGCAAATAATATTGTACGTAACGCGTGAGCACGTATGTAAGTATAACTGTAACGTTGCAACGGCAAATGAAAAAGGCGCCGTTTGTCGGACGGGTTTCGGGTCGAAACGGCATTTTCAATTTCCCCCTTCGCAAATTTCGAAAATTGCGGAAGTGGATCCCGCGTTACATGCTCCGGCTAATGGAAAAAACGCTGGGTTAACCACTCGGCTGTTCCACCTTCGTGCATCTCTTATTGAATTTAACATAAATCCCCGGCGTCGACGATTTATTCCGGAATGCAACGGTTCAATATTGTCCGAAGCTCAGCCAACAGTTATCATCCTAAGGAATTGCAATTCTGATTTTATGTTAACGAGCTTCCCTTTGTTGTTCGGCCACTTGAACCCGAACACAATGGTTTTATTTACCTACCATCCAGGTGTAGATGAAATTGAATCGTCCCATAAGGATTTTCGCAGTTGAATGGACATTAAAACGTTCACCTGAATTTCTGTTTCATTTTCTTACGTAAGAATTTGTTTGCACTCTCTTTTGTTATTGCGCAAGTAAACTAGATTTTCTGTTGTCTATAAAGAAAAGGATACTTACAAAAAGCGATATAGTTTCAAGTTATTTTTATTATCTGAAGAAAAATGCATGAATTCTTTAACGCTAGAGTTATCAAGCAGTTAAACTAGCTTCGTAAGATTTCATTATAGAAATTACAAGTGTCCATTTATTGAGACTTCGATTGGTTAAAACTGATATAATTATATAATATAATTTAGTTTGTGTTATTATGTCAACTTTGTTAATAGTTTCTCGAAGAAGCGTTTGTACATTTCGATACTTGCAAAACAAGATAGTTCCATTGTTAATTCCTTGCTCTGCGATTTATTTCTCAATTACGATCGATAGAACTACTTTGCCATTAATAATTCATTGAGAAAAGAGAAAAATTCTAGTTATATTCTATGTCTATGTTTACTGTAAAGTATAACTATCAATAACAGAACAATAATATTTCATTTGAATTCAAAAGGATTGAGTAATATTTATTTTTGTTGAATTTTCTTAGAAACATTCACAACGAGCTGACACGTCGTTATAAGGCAAGGGGTTAAAAGACAAACAAAACGAAACGTTCCATTTTTTAGAAAAATGGAACCGTTGTCGAATTCAATTGATTTATTTAGCACCCATAGTAAATAGAAACCCGTGCCGAGTAGTATACCGTCGTCGGTAATTAAGATGGCCGAGTGGTTGCCCGAAGAAGCTGTACGACTTCGCTCGAAGTCGGCGTAATGGCGGACGTTTCGTCGGGACACGAGATTAAACTGCTCGCGTGGTCTGAAACATGTGGTACGGCCGAGACAGACAGACGTTATTGGGGCATGTCTATTGTTTATTTTCCCGAGTGTCTTTGGACATCCGAATTGACGCGTTTCGTGCGCCTTCAACTTTCACGGACTTCTCGAGATATCAGACCGGATAAGCGTATATAAAGGGACTTGGTATCCAGCACGAATCCCAATTGATATTCGATAGCATTGCGCGCCGTTTCTGCCAGTGTGCATCACCGATGGTGACAATCGGTCCGGGGATCGCGGTCCTCGAAGCTCAGTGGAATCATTTCTTGATTCGTTTTATCCAAAAAATATTTTCATTCGAAGCTTCTTTAAACAATATCAATTCCTTCATCTTCTAATACCAAGAACTAATTTTATTCAACATTTTATTCAATGTTATTTCTTCGAAAGTTACAATTGGTCCTCAGTTTTCAAAGCTCAGTGAAATCATTTCTCGATTCGGTTTATCTAGAAACTGTTTTCATTCGAAGCTTCTTTAAACAATATCAATTTCTTCATCTTCTAATATCAAGGACTAATTTTATTATACATTCTATTTGGTGTTCTTTCTTTGAATATCAAAATTTAAACTCGTTGAAGTTCGATTGAATCGTTGGTTCACGATTATGCTAAGATAAGGAGACTTCGGTGCTCCAGCATCTGTGATCTACATTGACTCAATTTAGTCTCAGAATTCGATATCCTTGCCACTTTATTATACATGCGTTCAGTGGTTTCATTTCTTGAAAAGTTGAAGCTTGAAGGATGTTATTATCCGCAAGAGCGGCTAGGTGCGCGGCTTTAATGGGAGAGCCGGACGAGCTCTATCCAGGTGGATACCAGATTCCGGGACGGTTCGATGGTGCCGGTGTTTTTAATGCGTACGTGTGTATTTGTTCCAGAGAAAATAATTTACCCGAGGAACACGAGGACGTTGGCGAAGACCGCGGTGATCGGCGGGAAACCGATCGAACAGGAAACTTGCATGGTACTTTGTTTCGTTTGTTAATGTCTCCTAATTGACGTTGATCTACTGATTTAAAAAATCCGCGTCTTTTTACCTCAGAAATAAATCGAAAAGGAGGAGTGAAAATTCTTCTAACTATATAGAAACTCGAATGCTCACATCTTTATTTTTTAATTTTGTACTTTTAATATGGACGATATACATTGGGCAACGGATTTAAGTAATACATTTAAAATCAAAATATCTCAGTTAACGGTGACAGTAGATATTGAAATGAAATAACCTTGTTAAATTTAAGTGACATTATTTTTAGTGCTACTATAATTACTAAAAAATTCTTTCTGAGAATCGATTGTTTCTAATTTATTTCTACGATGAAAAGATCAATTTTCCATTTTTAATAAAACGATCAATTTTCAATTTTTATTGAAGAAAATCAATTTTCAATTTTTAAGTATAGACGTTTATTTTAAACGATGACAATTTTTATATATTTTTCGTTGTCAACGCAAACTTCGTCTTTTTTTCGCGTGTATTCAAAATACACGCACACTACACACATACATATGCACGCACATCCATGAAGTTTACATCAATATTAACCTACACGTCTACATAAGTTTTAATAAAAATATTCATTTTTAAAGATAAAAGACTATTTTTTCAATTTCGTGCAACAGACGCTAAGGGCTCTGGTTTTCGGAAGTTCTGCCAGTCAACCGAAACAGGAATGGGCCAGAACGGGGTTAACTTTGCGGCCTTATGGTCAAAGCTTGGCTTTCGGACTGCGAGCGCCGAGGAATACGACGAGAGGACTCGTCACGGCTGTGCAAGCGATCATGCTCAAGCATTTCCTCTTTAAATGCAACAGACAGGACGTCAACCCGGAAAGGTAAACGCCATATTGAACCTATTAGACAAAATTCAGAAACACAAAAACCAAATCTCACCTTATATATCCCTTACTATGTAATGATCTTCTCTAATACGCTGACTGTCACGGTGATCTTCGATGATTGGAGCTTCCAAATTACTCGAAATCAATTATAATTCGCAAGTTAACTAACGTCGAATAAAAACGTTCAACAATGTAAATAACTACAATAAATAATTGTGTACCGTAACAGTAATTCTGTCAAGATTCTCGCGTGCTGCATAAAATTCTACGGCTTATCAGAATTCCTGTATTCATTATAATTCGTAATTATCAGAAAGTTTGATTGATCATTCATTTGTACAGCCTACTGAAGCCTTCCTACGATAGGCAAATCGACGTGCTAACATCGTCGATAGCCGAGATCGTTTGGCGATGCGCTGGAGGTTTCGTTGCGCAAAGTTCCAGTTCCACGGCGAACCAAAATGTCGCCGGAAGTGCGAGCGTTCCTAGAGCTATCGTTGCTTTGCCACAGGAAATACCTTATTTACAGCACAGTGTACATTATTTTCAAGACGGATTAACAGAGACGGTAAGTGAATGAAGTATCTACAATGATTTCATTACTATATTGTATAATTTAATTTGATTCAATTTATTACGTTATACAACTTACTTTAATTTAATTGAAATAATTTAACAAAACAGCGAATACTTTGTGTTTTCCATTCAATGCCAATGATTGGCAGCACTAATAATTCATTCCTTTGTTGTTGTATTTTCAGCTTCACTTGTTCGAATTTGAGACTCTCGACGATCTCGAGATATTTGTCAAGAGATATTTGTATTTGGTAAGCTAGTTATATTCCTCTACTAGAGATTGTGTTTCTAATACAGACTCTGTTGGTTCCAGTTCCAAGATGAGGGTGGCCCTGGTGCCTTATTACTCTTGTACAGTGCCATGCTTTCTAGAGGCCTTTCGAAGTGAGTACTTGAATTGAATACGAATCTTTCGGAGTAACTTTCAAAGGAAAAATTGAAATGAAACGACCATAAATCTATTGAAATTATTTTTCCCCGTCTTACTACATTTTCTATATTTTTAAAAACTCTATTTTTCTTCGATTCCGAAGCTCTTAAATTTGTTAAAAATTCTGAAATATCATCTTTCAAAATTCCGGAATTCCTAAATCTTTGAAAATTTCGAAACTCCCCTATCCGTCTGAAATCCTTAAGAAAATTTGTTACCGCTGTGTAATATCGCTTTGTCGCATAACAAAATTTAGATAGTTCGCATTTGAAGAAATACTTCGAGGAGGGGTTAACGTTTTCCCTGTCGCAGAGTCAGAGCAGATCTCGAAGACCAGAAAGCGTCGATATTAAGCGGCTGTCCGGAGGAAGGTCCTATCAGTGCGGTGATCCTGTTATTAACCGGTCGCGCATCGCCTCACCTTCACAATGGGGTGATGCACGTGGGGGATGAAAACACATACGTGAGCTTTCTTCGCCTGTTCCCTCGATTGTCTCCCCGCATTCCGCCACCTTGACTCACGGTTTTCTCGTAAACGTTCAAGGCCGTGCCACAATGGGGCGTGCTCGTGAGAAGCGAAATAGGGTTTCTGGTTCATGAGGGGGACAGCCAGATGAATAGGCAGCCGGGTTCCCGGCTGAAGACGCCCAGCCTGCCCATCTGGGTCACTCTGTGTCACGGTCACCATGGTGTCCTCTTCAACACGAACCGCGAGCTACTTCGGAATTATCACGCTGAACGCAGGTAATTATATTATAAAAAGACAAAGTCATTAGTATTTGAATCGCAATATAGCAACTGTAACATAGTAAGTGCATAAGTACACCAATTCGTTTTTGGTGGGAATTTTGGGGGACTTGAAATCGAACGATACATGTAAGAAAGAACAGAAATTTAACGTTATAATTTCGAAAAGTTGATGACCTACTGAATTCTGTTTCCAAATCGACTGTTTCAAATCAATTTTCAGTTGAATTTTCCGAATCGTTTTAAATCAAGCTTGTTTCAATAAGGTTCGAGGTTCAGTACTTCACGTGCGGCGGCAGCCATGCTACTCTGACCGTGGACACCAGATCCAATTCGGAAAATGACTCCGAGTACGAGGGCTCGAGCAAAGATCTCATGGACATCGCTGCGACACCTTTAGAAAAGCTTATTCGTTCCAAGTAAATATATCTCATAATTAAAGAATTCAAACAGATGACAAAAATTAGCTTTAAATGCCATCAATATTCTTTTCATTATTTCCAGTGACTATCGTTTCGAATGTCGCTAAGTTTTCATTTATTTCATTGTTCTTATTAACTCTTTTAACCCTTTGTACTCAACAATGTCTTTCATTACAAATATTCATTATTTTCTGTTGAAATATTGATAACACTGTTTGCCACTAACTTAAAGAAAGATCTTACATAAATTAAGAGTGACAACTACTTTATTTCTATGGTTCACCTCTCGAGTGCAAAGGATTAACATTGGTTCGACTGAATTGTATCGAAGAAGGAATACGAAGGCATTGACTGTTTTATCTCTTGCAGGTGGCAAGACGCTTGCATACAATGGAACGGAGCTCCCCTAATGTGAACGCTACACTTTCACCCGCGTCCCTCTGCGTGGGTTGTTGCACAAGTTTCGGGAAACAATGAGAAAAGTCACAAATAAGTTTGAACTAATGGTTTCATTGTTTTTCGAAATATTCTCCTTCAACATTAATACATTTTCTATTGTGTTGTGTCAGCACTTTCTGACTGTGTGACTCTCAGGCACCATTTAATTTGATATACCAAAATTATATATGTTCTCTCGTTCAAATCGTTTCAAAAAATGTCAAAGAATTCATTGGAAAATGTTGAACATTTCTAGTGAAAGACTTCCGAGTGCAAGGATTTAAAAATGTGAAGATTTCACGAAACATTTGCAGCAACCTACGTATGAATTCACCTGTTCTAATTGTCTGTGTGTCTTTGTATCCTATTGTTCAATCGCGATTAGCGTCTCTAACAGTAAGTAAAGTTCGCGAAAGCGTTCTTCTTCGACAAACTCGGCGTGAATTTTCAGGGGAACCCCGGCGATTCGATGACGGGAGGATCGATACCGTTTGACGGATTCGACAAACACCTCCCAACATGCGATCGCGTGAAACTGAACGCTTCCGAACCCCGCATGGAACTAACGGTTCGACAAATAATTGCACACAGGAGCATTCTATTGCCCGATAACCGGGGAATCCCGATTCAGCTTGAAGGTCCGCGCTTTCCAATTAATCTCGAGCCAAAATATTCTTCGTGTTGCAGTCCCCTCTAGCGGTGAAACTCTGAAAGAGAACTTTTAGAGTTCCTTCCGGCCCTAGTGAACTTTCACAGAATAAAACCACTGTTTCTTGTTCGATTAAATATGTATTGTATTTCCAAAGAATTGAATTCCCTCGAGTTTCTAATTAAATGTTATTTCACCGTCGTTGGTTGTTGTGCTTTTCACCGGATGTAGACATAGAATAAACTTATAGTATGCTTCTGGAAGAAGGGTTTGCAGGTCTATGTACCTTTCTTTTGGCAATTTGTTTTTGCTAGGTGTCATCGTCTAAGAATATTCCTACAAACTTATCGATACATTGGAGAAATTCAAACTAGAACTTCTGATTCAATATACTCAAATAATTTAGCATTTCAGTTTATGAACCGTTCCTCCAAAAACATCCTCAATTAGTTATTAACCCTTTACACTTGGAAGTTTTGCACTGAAAGTGTTCAACATTTTCTGATGAGATGATGAAAGAAGAGATGATATTAAATATTAAACTTCATAATTACACTATATTAAATCAGATGATAACAAAGACTCACCTTTCAAATGCGAAGGGTTAAACGCCGCAGTTCTTACTCTATGTTATCCACCTACTTGCATTACCGAACACGCATTACATCAATCGTCATTGCAATCGTTCTCGAGCAACTCGAAGCTGTCGGTCACCGGTGACCAGCACGGCGGTCGGTGTGTCAAAGAAAACGGCCAAAGAACAATAGTCCCTGGCGCGAACGGAAGTCATCGGTCTTCCTCGGGCACAGGATTTCGGCTTTCACGAGGTCTGGGAAAGCTGGGAGGGTAGCCGCGCACGTTATGCCCGCGCGATTTCCACCTGACGAAAGTAAACACCTGTTCGGAAGCGAGGCCGGAATGGCGGCTGTTCGGTTGGCCGTCGATTCCCCCCTTCCAAACAATGGAGGACTTCCCGAGTGCCGCTCTACCGAGCTCTTTGCTCGTCCGCGTTTCGTAGTGGCGAGTCCTGCCGGCCGCGAGCGGACAGGTGCGTTCTGGTGCGTTCCTCGGACAGAACACTCGCGAAAGAAACCGTAATAACACAACGTTCGTTCCAAGCCGTTTCAATTTCGAAGACTTTTCGTACGAATCGACTAATCCTCCTTCGTTCGATCAGTTGACCGTGGAACATTGAAAATCTCCCGTGGGGTGTATAATAGAATCAACCAATGAGAAGCGTACGCATCGAACGGAAGACAAACGCATATAATATACATTAAAATAAAATAGTTAAAGTAAAACGAAAAAGAGTTACATGTTGAGAAAATAGGTATTTTTATAAAATATAATTATTTCATTGTTGATTTAAATCGAAAATAATTAACTGTTGAGGAAATTCAACTTCCTATTTGTTTAATACTGTTAACTAGCTGCGATTTCGATTCATGGGGCACCGATGCACAGTGCACGAGCGATGTTTATTGGGAAAGGGCATCGCGAAGGTAGTGCGGTGAAGTTCTTCGTTAAGGGATGACTGAAGTGAAGTATAGTTTGGCTAGTGGTTTCCGGCGATTAAAGGAAACGTTTAGTGGGACCAGGAAGTTTGGGACAGGAGGTTGCGTGTAAGAGTCGAGGAACGCTGATTGTGGTGAGTATTTATGGGAGATTGCGAGGTTGAAGGAGGTTCGAAGATACGGGGAACAATAGATCTGTCCGATTCGAATGGTTTGTGTGGCTTCAAATGTTCATGAGGTTGAAATATAAATATAATTTAATATGATTAATATAATTAATATGTAATCCTTATAAAAATTGTTGCAATGCATTTTTTCGGTTTCTTTGTGCATCCATTATAGTATTCAAGGGAAGCTATTTATTTATAAAATCATTCTGAATATTTAGCACTTTCAAGATGTCAATAATTGCGAATGGAGGAACTTGAAACCCGTCATTCTGGAGGGTGCAGTAGTTCTAGTGCTAGTAACAGTTGAATCATTTCGTTGAACTCACTCGTTGAGACATTTTCCTTATGAAATGGCACCTTATGGTAATCTTACTTCATTTTGAACGCGTCACTTTGTTGTTCAGTATTTCCTGCGTGTCTCCAATTATCTTTCTTTGTACATTGCAATCTTTTGTTACTAACTCTAGATAACTAAACATTCTTCTAAATAGTTTACGAACCATCGGTACTTCTGTGAATTTCAATACGGGAGCACACGTATAGCATGCGCGAAGACTGCAAACGTTACTTACGAACGCTTTTCTATTTTTCATCTAAAAGCTAATGATACATATCTTAAATTGTGCTACCTTGTTCGAAATAAATCGAAGAAATATAAAAACATGCGTGCCTTTAATTTGTAGTCAAGTTATTTCTACTTTCTTCGGTACCAGTCGTTGCCAAACTCAGAAAATTCTGCGAAAACACCGGTATAAATCAGTCACTTAAGAGGTCGTTGATTCCTTTCAGTCAAATTAATGAACACCGATATTTGGAGCGTGAATCACATTGGAAAATTTGCGAGTATCGCTGAATAAAAGATGTAAGAAATCAAACATCACCTTTGGAGGATCGATTTCACCGACGATCGTTAAAGGCTGATAAAAACAATAAAAAGGTAACCGGACGTTTCCGTGAATTTTGACAAATCTTGACAATTTTAGCTTCGAGACGCAGGATTGATGTCTAAAATCGAGAACTGCAAACGAATAATTTTATTATTCAACTAACGGAAGACTGACGTGTGGCTTTTGTTTTTAGTAATTAATAGTTCGATTTGGTTCTTTATGAAAAGAAATGTTAGAAGTTTAAGACAGTTTCGTAGGCGAAGAAGTGTGTTCGGTGAACGTTGAAATGAGGCGTACAGAAGGGAGCGAAGTGATTCATCTTCTTGAACCGGCGCGGTGCGTCGCGAGTCCTGGCCAGAGGGGAGGACTTTACGGCGGTTGCCCATGGCAGTGCGTTTCAGTTCACGGTCCCGTGAATTCGAGGAGTACCGTGGCCCACATAGTCCGTCGTATCCGGCTCGCCTATCCCGTGTAAATCATTTAGGCCCCGCTAGGAATCTAAATTCCCCATTTTCTTGGGCACCTCCAAGCTTGGGTCAACAAGGGACACAAAGAACACAACAGGGTTAAACATATTTCTCACAGTGATAAAATCCAAATAGTATATCTCTTTTTAACTTTTAAAACTTAACACTAGAACTACCTTATCCGTGCAAATGATGTTCTTTTATTTTGCAATTACTGATATTTCGAAAATATCAAACATCCGAAATGATTTTGAAGATAAACAGTTACATTCGAATACTGTAACGAACATCCGAAGAAAACTTACTGTCGCAATCTTTATAAAAATTAAATATTAATCGTATAAAATTAGAAACCCTGTAACAAGTTCGTTAGGTTCCTAAAAATAGCCCATTACGCGAATTGCTACGTGAAAGAAAGAATTAGTGTAAAATGCTCGATAGTTCTAGTGTTAATCCTGTTTTTCGTACTAGTTCTTTGTTTCGCATAGCAATTGGCGTAATAGGCTATTTTTAGGAACCTAACGAGCCTGTTACACGGGGATTCACCTTAAACCCAATATTTCTGCAGTTCATTCCCGTAGGTCAATTGCTTTGCTCCAGCCGATAGGAAGAGTAATTGGCGACATTAACGAGAATACAGCGATTACCCCGGTCTATTGCTTGCGAATTTATCCGTGTCCCTTGGTTCGCAATTTATTACGATCGAGGACGACGCGATCGTAAAGATCAGAGAACCACGATACTTCAGGAAACTCGAAGTGAACTGAATTAGAAAGTTTTCTGGCCTATGTTTTCGAATCGTGGTGCAATATCGTGCAATTAACCCTCTAGATTGTTCATCGATCGGTCACGAGACTTCGCTGATCGTATAACATACGCGTACAGAATCAACGCAGGATCAACATCGATCGAAACTTTTATTACACATCATAGAATCAGTATTTCAACTACCAAACTCCTTTCGATTTTTTCTAAATTACTTTTTTTTCATAATTCCTTCTTTCTCAAGGAATGCGAGCAATGTAACTAGTGTTCCTCTAAGAAACTAGGAAGAAATTTCATTTTGTCTAAAGAGATCACTTTTCAATTCCAAAATCAAATTTAAGTATAACAAAGAGTCTTCCTTACACTATAATTATTCGGTCTGCCTACACTAACCCATCTGAGGAGGAACATCGCCATTTCGGTGACATCAAGCGTTTATGCCTAGACCACTGAAGTTTCATGAGAATTATTTAGTTATTCGAATAATAAAAAGTCAATACAATTCTATGTTTCCCAATATTTAAAATGTTTTCATACCAATTAACTTTCTATATTGAAGATCTGGAATTCTTTAAAGATCCTCGTCTGTGAAGGGTAATTAAGAGTAAGGAGAATGAGTATTCAGTAATACTTAATTATCTTTTTCCGTTCCTCGATAAAAACCGTCTGCGCTAAGTAAGTGGGATTTAAGGAAGGCTCGACCTCAAGGAAAAAGGAGATCTTTTTCTTGGTGACCATCTTTGGCTCGAAACCATGGTGCATCGTCGAGTTATCGCTCTCGCCACCCCCACCTTCCTTTCGGATGTCGTTCCACGTATCTAGGTTTCACGTAATAAAGTAGTTTCTTCGCATGCTTTCTAACCACGCGTTATGTTCGCCGGTTGCAGACACGGACGCTCGTTTTTCGGCCCGTCACCGGATCATCCGGCATCGATCCGACAAACGTTTGCGCTCGCTTTTGTTGTCCGATGTCTGCCTTTCGTTACGACAGCTGAGAACGGGCACTGCTCGTCGATCATTCCCGGTATCACGGGAGTAATGCAATTATCGTTGCGCCATATTTTCGTGGCTCATGCGAAACTTTGAAGATCGGCACGTCCTTAGCTTTGTTTTCGACGCGGTGGTTCGATTAACCCTTTACAATCGGTGCTGCTACTATGACTGCATTTGTAATTTTAGTTGAAAATGATCTTTCTTTCTCTGAGTAATGTTATTTTACGATCGAAAGGTATTGTAAGTATTTATGATTTTTCACTATCCCTTTCTGGTATACACTATAAGCAATATTCAACAGAATACATTAACTTCTAAAAATAATCTGAATTTTTTAATATTCATATATTTATTATAAATCACCTATAGAAAGATAACTTTAAAAATATTAATTTTCTTCGACTAGTTGCTAAATACGCCATCAAAAATGGAATTCGCTACCGTGCGACGCAAATATTTGATTGATGCAAAAGTTTCGACGGTATTTTTATAACAAAAAAGAGAAGAGTTTTTGAAATATTGTTATTGACTTGTTATATATTGTTATCTTTCTATAAGTTTACTTTTTCCATCTTGGTAAAAATGTTGTGATTTCGAAGGGAAAAATGAATCCAACGATATTTTTACTTATTCTAAGAAACATCAAAACTTTAGATCGACTCTATACTCTTTGAATATTTGTATAGAAACTATGAGAGAAACTCATTGAGTTTCCGACTGACTTGTATTTTGGATTATTGAATCGACTTCTCCAATGATTTCTTAGAGGACCATTTATTATCTTCTCAGTAATTGTGAAAGGATGAATCAAAAAAGGGTCGTTTTGATTCGACTGGTAGTTCTAGTGTTGATTGTAAAAAAATGATATCTAACTTCTTTTAACGAAACGAGATAAAGAAAAGAAATTAATGGATATTGGAGGAACTGTCAAATGAAAACTGTAAAAAAAACTGTTATTAACAAAACCATGGAATCACAAAGAAGAGATACCTCAGTGAACGACCTCTTGAGTATTAACAACAAACCACTTTTACCGCATCGAAGACGACGATAAGGTATACAATTAGGCATCGATAGAAAAGTAGAAACTAGGAGTAAATAGATGCTAGCAGAGGCGCATAAAGCGACAAAGTATCATCGGATGAACGTGGCATTTAGACTTAATAACACTTTCAGTTCGCTTCCTTTCGAATCCGTGACCCCGTTTAACTTCCATGGACGGTTAAAGTCTTAATAATCGAAATTGCAGATGCATCGGTGGATGCTGGGACCGGTGAAGGATGTCCTTGGATCGCCATGAGACACAACGTTCTGAGGATCCTGCCAATTCTGTGGTGCACGCTGCACGTCTACACTGGACAATGTAAGGACTGTTGTTGAAAAATTGACACTTGAAAGGGATACGAGTCTGTCTTGCCAATCGCACATTAATTCACGCTAGAATCACCAAACTGCAATTGCCAAACTGCATATCAGAATGCAGTTAGGGAAATTGTAAAATAAACTCGCGGGCTTATGTAGACACAATAACTTTCTCATGAAATATCAATGATTCTTGATCTATTTACTTGATATTCTTCATTAACCCCGTGTGCTACAACGAGTGAGACTCGTGGTGAAGATTTTTAACATGATTCAACAGTTGATTCGAATTCAAAGTAAATATTATTCCTCTGTAATCAAACTTAAAAGGAAATATAGGCATCACATATGCTTAGAATTTTTCTCTTTTACCAATAAATTATTAATGACAAAATAGCCGTATCAATCAGAGCTGAAAAAGAAGTCATAGGCCAAAGGGTTAAATATCTAATTCTTACGACTTACAGAAATAAAGAAACGAACTACTTTATTCCAATTATTAACATTGTCGGGTTTATTCGCGATCCGTTAACCCCTTGGCCTATGATTTCTTTCTCAACTGTGATCGATACGGCTACTTTGTCATTAATAATTTATTGGAAAAAGAGAAAAATTCTAAGCATATGTTATACCTATATTTCCTTTCAAGTATAATAATTGATTACAGAGGAATAATGTTCACTTTGAATTCGAATGAACTGAGTAATATATATATTTGTTGAATCATGTTGAAAATCTTCGCCACGAGTCTCACTCGTTGTTGTAGGGCAAGGGGTTAAGGATTAAATAGTGTAGGATTCAAAATAAATCGTCAGGCAACAACGGGTTAATATTAACCCTTTGCACTCCGAGCAATTTCTAATATCTTTCAGCAACTCCGAATCATTTTCAGTATAAGTTGCCAACACTCCAGGAGTATTTACAATACGAGCATACCTTTGAGAAAGATTGAAGATCCTGCTTTCTCATTAAAAAAAAAACGCGTATACATTTTAAAGTTATTTTATTAGAAACGGAGTTATCAACTTATCTTACGATGTCGCCGTAATGGCGACAACGGAGCGCAAAGAGTTGAATCTGAAAATGTAACAATTTTCCTGTGTTAAATCAATCGGCGACTGAGATGCGCCACTGGAGTGTAAAGGGTTAAGGTCCTCCGCGTTTTCCCACGCCACCTGTTCACCTCCCGTCCCCCTCGGCAACCGACGCCGTCGCGACGTTTCGTCCCTTCTGCTCCGCGGTTTGCCCCGTTCCCGGGCCGCGACCTTAATCGGCCCCTTCTTCCGTTTCATCACACGGTTGATCGCGTGCGAACGGTTACGCACGGGGATCCGTGGCTTGCAAACGGAAACGGAGGCTACGAAAGCCCGTGTTTCGTTTCCTGGCCGCGTTCCGTTTCCCTTCGATGCCCCTCGCGACACTCGTCGGCGACAACGATCGGATGACTTGGAAAGCTGGCGACGGTGTTGCGAAAAATCGCGAAACGCGAGTCGCGGCCTGCCTCTTTCCATCCTGTCCACCGTTTTTTCTATCCCCTTCCGACGCTCCGCTCGGGAACGGCCGATCCACTTCGTGAACGTGGTAATAATTGTAATCGAAGTTTGTCGCGCCGCGCAACGTTATTGCGACAGGATGGGACACGCGGAAGCGGGGAAAGTATGGAAAGAGCGAAGTAAATAAGAGTTGGCGCATTTCAACATGACAATGGTAATGTCGAAAGTACTGGAAGATTCGAGTATTTATTTATACGCTTAGGAAAGTTTGTTGAGATTTAAGGCGCTCCTTATTGCTGTGCTGGAAATGAATGGAATTGTTTAATAGTTCACGAAAGCTTTTTAATTTTGATTAAAATAATTCTGATACATCGAATCATTCTAATCATTCTAATCATTCTAATAATATTTAATAACTCTAATAATCCCAATAATATTAATAATTTTAATAATTTTCTTAGCATCAACAATGTCAATAATCACAAAATAAACGTTGTCAAACAGATGCCTTTAATGTGTTTAGTGGTCCAACATTAAGATAACTAAACGAAACCTTAGTTCGATCTCGAGCATTGTTTGCCTGGAACAAATGCTCGAAACATTCTTTAAAGCATCTAGATTTACAAATGTACTGGAAAAATGGTTGCAAAGTTTTTGGGAGTCGTTTCAAGTTTCGTTTGCGAACTGAAACGAGGAGTAATGCTATACGGTTTTATCGATGTTCCAGCGATTAGACTCTATAGACCGAGATCCGACAACTTTTGTTTAACGGTACTCGTGTGGGAAGGGTTGAAGGAGAACAGAACGGTGCGGAATTATACTTTGGAAGTTGTAATTGCTTCGCGAAAAGAGAACGGAAGAGAAAACTTTGGCGAACCTCTAATTAATCGAAGAAATTCACGCGTCTTCTATCGCGCGCGATTTTACGTAATTTCTACGGTGTAAATAAGTAAGTGTATAGTACTTTCTTCGCCGCTCGCTCACAACACGCTCGACAATTTCGTCGGGCCCGTCGTATTCGGTTGTTCACGCGATCGCGATCGGCGGTATCCCTCATTTCCATAACAGTCGACCGTTATATCTCGTTATGCCGGAAACGCGTCGGTTAAGACAACGCGTAAACGAGCATTTTACTTATAAATGACTGCGTTAGCTCTCCGAACATCGACAGGTTAATAGAGCTTGTAGCACGGCAAATAAATAATCGTGCCGAAGAGTTTCCTTATTTGTCTAATTACATCGTACCTCATCCTACGCTCGTGTCGTTTACATATAAGTAGACTGCGAACGTTCAAGCGAGAGAAATGAGAAGAGTGATCATATAGCAAAGTTAATTTGAAAAAGCGTATTATTGTTGTTTTCTATGTTATTATTAAATATATAGTCAAATTGTTTAATTTTAGAAGCAGATATATATTACTGCTATCCTGATTTCATTAATGAAAACACAAGTGTTTACTTACCTTTGTTATCTACTGTATCTTCCCCGAATTTTGTAATTAGAAAGTCGGAACTTTGAAACGTTGAAAATCCAATTTCTTATCCGATCTAGATTAACGATATAATTCTGTACTGGGGTGAATTACTGAAAACTTTGAAAATATCGTTTCGATCTTGATCGAGGATGAAGTTAGCTTTTCCAACTATTCTATTTCGAGCCAACAACCCCAATTTAAACAATAATTAAATTTTAATGATTATAGATGAAACCGAAACACCTAAAAATCGAAAAGTCAAAAAATGATAAAGCTTGGATGTAAATTAAAATTTTGTATGATATCTATCGACACGTTCAACCAGAATAGTGTTAACCCTTTGCACTTGAACATGTTTTCGAATAAAAGTGTTAGAGACGTTCTTTATTTTAAGATTCCATGCGTTAACACTAGAACTACCGAGCATTTAAACTGTCTTTTTAAAATGTCTTTATAAAAACTAAACGCGTGAATTTATTAAGATTTCAATTGGCAATATTTCAGTTTAGGTGTTACTTAATCAGCTTCTTCAGTCAGTTTTCAAACAGGTAAAACTTTTTCAATAATCATAAAAGAAAAAATCAAGGAATGGGTTATTTAGATCCATCTGGTAGTTCCAGTGTTAATATATCACAGAAAAATATAACATGGAATATGAAACTGCAGAATTTCGCTGCATCGAACCAAATGACCAGTGAACGTCGCTTCTCGAGTCGAGGGGGTAAAAATTTCTGTTTTATTCAAATGAGCGGTGTCGTTTTCTTCTGGAAAAGTCTTCGGATCGGGGAGGGAAGGAAAAAAAAAGATTACGAAAGGCAAAGCCGGAACGTTGCATCGTCGACAGCGCGCCATGAGCTGGCATCGGGCGGAACTCCGCTCCAAGGGAGCGCGCTCGTCTAACCCTCGTGCACGCGCTCGCTGTTAAATGACGTCTGCATACGTGTGGTGGACACACGTGGATCCACGATCTCCTGCGTGTCCGTGTGCACGTGCGTATGTAGTGTCTAGCATTTTATCTGTACGTCGGATCACGAACGAATGACCACTCCGCCGGCTATTAAAATGTAGGTTTCTACTGCGTCAGAGATGGGGAGGGTGTTTCGAACAGGAACGAAACGTGGTTCGTTGTCGCTTTGATTCTCGATGATCGAACAGATTCGTGAAACCGTGTAACGGATGAGATGATTTTGATAATTTTGTCATAAGCCGAATCGATTAATTCCACGAGACAGCCAGTAGAGAAAAGTGATGCAATAGCCATGCATCGTATTTAAAAATTGCACTCGAAAGTTTTGACTAGAAATGTTTATTTAAATCTCAGGAGGTAGGAATGATACTTGTTGAAACTAACTTGAAGAAAAATCACACGTGAATTGAAGAACAAAGCTATTTTATTCGAATGCTTGAGGCGTGGATTCGTTGTGCAAAGTTTAATGTTCAATATGAAACTTTGTAATTTTAGTGTATTAAATTTTATAGTGGCCACGTGTACCTTATTGAGTGCAAGGAGTTAATCATGGAGAAGATCATAACTTAATTTACATTAAGTTTGTTTGAATTTATGTGAATGCAAGTTTGTATTACTTATGCTAAACTGTCGAACGAATTATTTGATAGGAAGAGAATGTTCACCGATGATTATAATAGTTTCTTTGATTGTATATCGATTGGATCGTATTCTTGCGAAGTAAACTGCAAGATTACAAAGTGTAATGGAAGATTGTAAAAAACTGGTGGATTCTTGTATTGTTTAACGATTCTTAGAACCGGTTCTTAAAACTGCCGGAAACCCCGAAACCGCAGAGTTTCGAAGACCACAGTGCCGTGATAAAGGTCAA